CTAGCTCCACAGCATCAGTATCCATGGAGATCTAGCCAGGTAAAAAGAGAGCCACCTTCATGACACTGAAAACTCTGACTTTAGGCTCAGCATACCTCGCTAACCCACTGATCTCGCTTTGTAGTACAGCCCTCTGGAAAAAAAAAGCAGGGAGGAACAACAACGTAAGTGTGACTTGCGTCATCAGTCTAGCAAACTGATGAAGCAGCAGCGTTGCACATCACGTGTCTGAAAGGGGGCTAAAAGTGTTCCGTGATGAAGTAATAGACTAGACTGGGGAAAAAATTATTACCAGCTGAGCCCTGCTTTTTTTGTTGTTTTGTCTGGTGTTTGTTATGTAGCAACAGAGACTATAATGGGCTGGTTGCTTGCAAAACATGCCTCTGAATTTAAGTTTCTGTTTCTGTTCTGCTTTTGTTTAACACAGGTCAGCATAGACCAATTGGGGATAGCAGAAGATCATCTTATGACAATCCAGGCTTCACTGCTCTTTCTGCTCCAGCTGGTGACAACGTCCTTGAGGACATTATCAGTGCGTGAGAAGGACTGAACTAAATGTTCCGTATACAGTCAAACTACTGAGTCTGACCTGCAGATGTCCTTGGGGGGGGAGGAAATACTTGCCAGATGTATTTGTCTGCCTTGTTAATTAAAAACGTGAAAGGTGGCTTTAACTTTAACAGCCGTAACATTATTCACAGATGCAACAGGGCAGACACATGCGTAGAAACTCACCAGAATGCAGGAAATGAAGTGTTGATCCTGGAGGAAAAGCCCCTTCATTTTTATTTACTTTTTGTCCCACGCAGAGTTCAAACAAACCCGACTCCCACGATGTCCCGTAAACTGTTGATGACAGCTTATCTGTATTTAGAAACATCTGCAGGACATTCAGCACCAGTTTTTTTTGTCTTTGCTCTTCTGCCCGTCTCTAACTTTGTGCATCTTTTTCCATGCAGATCAGAACATCCTGTCAGCACCTCTGCAGACAGTGCTGGACAACTTGGACGTTCTGGAGGAGTTGGTGATTCTGTTGGACCCGGAGAGCCCAGGAATAAAGAACACGAAACATCTTGCGTCGCTCTGCTCCTTCCCCTCCACCTGGACCACTTACGCGTACTCCATGAAGGAGAGTAAGAGCCCCCTGAAAGCGCTGCTGGAGGGGGTCACCAGCAGGAACCCTGACTGGACTGTAGGTCACCTGGCGAAGCTGCTCAGACACATGGAGCGCAACGACGCCATCGCTGCTCTTTCTAAAATCAGATTGAATGTGATTGGCGTATAGTAGGTGTTTCACCTGACTGCTAGAAGAAATTGAAGTATTATATCTTTTTTTCTGAAGTGTAAGGCGGTGCTTTGCGCATCGGGGCTGCATAATGTATCATTCCAGTATCTCGTATTATCACAATGTGAATTAAGGCAAATTTGCACTACTTAATATGTTCGCTTCAGACCTGTCACTTTTTCGTAAAAGCTGCAACGACAGTCGATCGAGGCCGGGCCTGGTGATGTTATATATATATATATCACATATCAAGTCATAACTGCATGCATTCACTTTAATGCATGCACAAGTGATGTTCTTTGACATCGTTTATTTTCTTCATATTTAAGCACCAATATCCAAAAACTTAATTTGCTAATTTTTTTCTTTTCTTTTTCTGCTGCTTGATACAAATCTACAGAAGATTCATTTCATGTTAAAGGGCTTTGGATGGACTGAGTTTGCTGTCTGGCATGTAAACTCCCACACTTGCTCAGCAAAATGAGAAACAGGAGGGAATTCCTGAAAAGCAAAAGCAAGATAAAAAAAACAACAACAATGTCAGCTGTTTGGAAATATTTTGGCATCAGATAACATGATGTTGACTAAGTCTGCGGGCTCTCCGTCAGCAGTGTCTTGCAATAAAGTAAAGGAACGCAACAAAGTCATCGGCACAAGGCCGAACTCCAAAGCAAGTAGTGCTTTGGATATTTAGCCAGTGTTGCCCCATATCAGGAAGGTCTTTGCGTCTTTAGTTAGCTTTTTTTTTTTAAATGTGTTGTATTTGCAGATCCACTTCCCTGCAGAATCACCTCAGTCATTCTAGATTCATTCATTCTTTACAAATAGTGTAAAAATTCCTTCTGTTTTTTTCTGACAATAAAAAAATCATCCAGCGCTATTGTAAACAGTCAGCTAGTTTCAGGATTTTATGAAGAATCAGTGAAAAAAAAAAGCACTAAAATGAGTTGAAATTGACAAAAGTAATAATAAATAAAAATTTTATGAAAATCATGATGTTGCTTTTGAATTGTGGTTCAACAGAAATATATATAAAAAAACAAAAAAAACAAGCATGATGGGACCAGTAAACTAATATTTTGTTGAACAACCCTTTGAGGTAATCAGGTGTTTCCTGTAACTCTCAGTCAGACTTCTGCACCTGTTGACAGGGATTTGGATTTTGCTCCCAATCAGCAAAGTGCTCTAACTTTTCTGGAACAGTTTTGTTTGTTTTTTTAAAATTATTTTTTTCAACCACAATTCAAAAGCAAGGATTTATCTCACTAAATTATAATTTAGCAAATTTTTATCTATTATTACTTTTTTCAGTTTCTAGTTATTTCAGTGACTATTGTGAATTTATCCTTTTCTCTAATGGAAGGGTATGAATACATTTGAGGACGACTGTGTGTATATATACTCAGGACAAAGACTCACAATATCTGAGCATTTACCGTGATAATGAAAGTTAATTACACAGCAAATGTGAATGTGTTTGGGTTTTTTTAAGCCTCTTGTAACGTGTCAATCTATGATTATTGCTGTGCATTACCAACTGTTTTTTTATACTCCAGCCCTTTCATAATAAAACAAAAAGAAAATTGTTCAAACATCTTAACATCTTTATTAAGCAAATAACATTATAAATAAAAAAAGTGCATAGAAAAATTAAACAGGTTTAGAAATATGTATACAAATATTTACAAACTCAGGGTTTATTTGTACATGGTAACAAAGACGTAAATTTAAAGAGCACATATTTTCTCATTTTTATGTCTTTTACACTTACTTTAAAATAACCCTACTATATATATATATTTATATATTTATATATATATGTGTGTATATATAACATACAGCTTTCTTAACAGATTCTGGGAGAGATGGTCATAACTTCAGGTTTCGACTAGTGCTTTGCATCCTTCATCGCGCGCACACACATGCACACAAAAAAATAACAAACACACACGCATACACACACACACACACACACCAGGATATTAAAACCAAGCTATTCTTAAATCATCATCCTCTCTTTTTGCATCAGTATTCCCAAACATCTGTCGTTAACAGCTGAGGTAGAATCCTTGCAAGGAGTTGGGAGTGACTCTGTTCTTGTTGTCAGCTAAGGTGATTGACACAAGTTAATCTGGGCTCCATCCCAGTGATTGGACATGCAAAGGGAGGGGAGGGGAGGGGGGGGTTAAGATAAAGACAAAACGTGATGTTAATTTGCTCTATTAGGTTCGGAGACAAAGGGGTGAGAGAGGAGAAAAAAAAACCATGATCATGGGCTTGAATAGGCAAACAGTGCTCACTTTACTCCTGTGGCTGATTCTAAGAACGTCAGTAATCTACCATAACAAAAAATAAAAATGCTTCTTTAAAAATACCTGCTTTCGAACAATTTCTGTCATAAAGGCTTAAATGCATGACATGACTGCTCCGAACAAAACAAGAAAAAAAATTCAAGTAAATTAGTGAAACAAAGGACATCATTTGTAAACAAAACAAAGGACACAAATTGGGGGAAATACACAAGACCGCCACCAATTATACACAGCACAACCGTTGGTTTTTTTTTTTGTTTGTTTTGTTTTGTTTTTTTTTAACCATTAAAAATAGAAATCAAAACACGAATAAATATAACTACCAATTTGAACAGTGTGTGAATTCAATTAGCCTCATCAATGACGGCACTCGACATCGACTCACGACGACATGAAACATCATTTGAAAGGTGCTGAACGCGTCCTGTCAGCTCCGTGTCTGTCGAGGTCGACCGCTTCCTGCAACACCTCCAAAGTCTGTGTTCTCAACCAGGAGCTGAACGCACACACTCAGTAGCAATGCTTTATACCAGTGCTCTCCCTGATTAAGAGAAACTGTAGCAGGTTTCACAAAGATAATTTGTATGTTTGATGCTTATTTATGTGCAACTGTAGGGCAAGAAAGTCTTATTGCAATAGGTAATGAGCATCTGCCATGAGAGTAATAAAATATATATTTAAAAAAAACAAAAAAAAACTGATATTCACCACAAAATCTTCACTTTTGGCTTGGGTAGTGTTTGCTACATACACTGTACATCAAGAAAAAAAAACCCAACATGTCTTTAAGACATGATTCTGCCTTTATAACTATGACACCGTGTCACTGACTGCAGCCAGCACACCGATTTTAAACTCGACACAGGAAGAGAGGAGGTGAGTAAAAGCAGACGGATGACAGTAAATGTGAAACCTAGCAGTCACTAAATATTCCGCTGATAAGAGTGCTGCTTGAGTGCATAAATTTAAGATCTCAGCAGGGTGAATAAACAGCTAAACGATTCCTGATTCGCAAGACATCTTAGTCCCAAACTAAAGACAAAGCTTTCAAAGCTTAGCACCATGGTTGTTTTGTTATTCACACTAAATAATAAGTCTAAAAAGAAACAACGTAAGAGGAGTTGAATGCAAGATAAAAACGCACAAAATAAAGGTTCGAGTGAATGTATGGCTCAAGAACTGACTTCACCACTGCACGGATGGGACTATAATGTTCCTGTCACTAGAGGATGGAGCGATCATGATAACAAGTGTACTACAGACAGACGAATCCCCCCCAGAAATGGATAAAACATAGAAGGAATCTCTCAAAGTTTAGCTATAGGTATTCAGCAATGATTCAAACATATAAGGCTTGGTGTGTGTCAGAAAATTCTGTTGGCGTCATCCATGTAGATCCAGGAAATCCCCACATTTCAAACATCCGGTTAAATGTCCCCTTGTCATCAACACCAAAACCACTTCCTCAACAACAATGCGATGCCACCTCTACATCTGAACTCCTCGGCAGCAGAAGTACATCGCAAACATTTATGAGGCAAGAAACGCTTCAAAAATCTATTTTCTGTGCTGGTTCTCTTCCTCTTATTCTCCCGTCTGTAAAATGTCCACATTTCACTTCTCACCAGCCATTTGTTTCTGGCCATAGTGGCTAAATCCCCTGCTGCGCAGACTGACCACAGCCTCTCCAGGCCCCATCCAGTGCCACCTTAATTTAAGGCTTACTAGTAAACAGGATCCTCGCCTTTTTCATCCGAGGGATCTCTCAGTTGAGGAAACGACGGCATCGCCGGGCTCCACAGTTACAGTTGAGTTTGTTGCTGGCGTCCTCGATGGGGAACTTGTAGTCGTAGGTGAGCTCCTCTCCCCTGTAGATTTTCCGAAGAGCAAAGATGACGATATGCTTCCGACCTTCCACGTTGATCACCCGCGAGTAGCAGTTAGGTTCGCAGGAGTGGTTGATGAACCTGGCTGCGTTGCCGTGCATGGTCGCGTCCACCACGTCAAAGTCATCGATGCGGAACATGTAACAGCCGATTCCCTGCGAAGGCAAAGACGAAACGTTTTGGTGCATTCTTGAATCTTTGTCAACGTTAACTGTCAAATAGGTTGATCGTTGTGAAAATTAGGGCCTCCAGGAGAAGTTAGCAGAGCTTGTGATGCTGAAAATGCATCAACAGTTTGCACATTTGTTTCTGAAATGCTTTCATCACAACAAATGTTTCCATGATTACTGCATGACTGTTGCATCATGTCGTGTTTGGTCAGCCGCAGTCAGCACTTCAGTTTTAGACAATGACGGCAGCACCAGAGTCTGTTCGGTATTGGAACATAACGCAGATTGTTGCTATGTTATTTAAGCTTCAGTTCCAGATCACAACAGCAAACATCCAGGAGGCACTTTACATCTGTTTGCTTTCTGGGTTGTGTTGTTTTAGCTGCGTCTTTGTAAATGCCCTGTTTTTATTGTATGTGTTTGATCTATAACTTAAGATTGTCGTTTTTGTTTAAATTGAATCTTGTTTTGGTTGTTTTTAGCCCCTTTGTCCCTTTTTTTTTTTGCGAGGCCACAGTTGAAAATAAGAAGTGTGCTCTTCATTGGTTAAATTAAATAAAGGTCAAGTAAATAAACATAAACAAACTTTCTGCATGTTGTGACAAATTGGCGTTTTCCAATGACTTGTGCAGTCATACAAAACGCAAATCATACTTTTGAACCTGTAAACATCCAAATAATGTTTGTTTTTTTGTACTTGTTTTTTTAAATAATACACAAAGCGAGATGCCTGACACATTCAGTCACCTAAAGCCATTTACCAGCTCGATCTACAGGACAAAATACAACAGATATTCTCACAGGACATTCATTCCAATAACGTAATACTGAACAAACGCATCAGGCAGAAAACATCTGCGTTCCAGGTGGCCTGAGGTGGGTTTCGCATATGTTGCATTTTAATTGAGCCAGATTCCAAACAAAGTTGCACTTCAAGGACTGAGTGAAGTGTAACGACTGGAATGTGAACCATGAAGGCTGCATGATAGCTAGCAGTCACAAAGATACACAAAAGAAGAAAATAAGTTGCTGCTCAATGCTTGTAAAATATCCACGCTGCACTGTCCTCCGTATGCAAATGCAACTTTCCAGAGAAACTTTTCTTCTGCAGTTGCACTACTGGCTTTAAGATTGAAACCTCTTTTTAAAATCTGTTTTCATCATGTTGGAGTTGCCAGTTAAACTACAGCACAGTTCTGAAGTACTTTCTTTACATTTTGCAAAGACCAACAGCAGGTCAAACTGGTCGAACACTTCATAGAGTAAATGATAGAAACACAGTCGATAGCAGCAGCCTCAACGAGGATGAAACCGATCAGAAAAACGGATGCCCAACAACGTACCTTGCCGTCGTAGTACTTCTCCCGTTTGTCGGTGAGC